AGCAATCCTTTGTCCTGATCCTACTGTCCAGTCGTGTTAATAGCATGCCAAAATTTCCTTCAACAAATGTCTATGTATCATACTGAATAACATTCAAACAATATTCAAACATCTTAAATTACAGTGCAAATTAGAGAATGCTAAACTAATTTTACAATGTCATGAGAAATTGTGCATTTTGTGTATTGGCGATATCTTAAGACACGCCTACTAAACAGTGGCTCTTTCATATTTTGGTGCTCTGTTTCAATGAGAGCCTTCGAAACTTCCGTTGTCAAAACTAAGCTGAAAAAGGTAAACACAGTTAGTACAAATATCCAATTTAAAAGAACATGCTCGTTTGTTTGTTTTTTTTGTTTTTTTTCAAAAAAATTGAAAATTGAAGAATGCTTTGCCACGAATAATATTTTTCTCAACATTTTGGATGCAATTTCGATGCGAAATACCGCAATATGATATGACGTTGCTATAACTTTTATCAATTATAAACTCGAGTGTTTTCTTTCGCGAGGAGACACATCTTGAGTGATTTATCCACCATAAAGTTAATGTTGACCCACATAATATTGGATGTAACATTGTGTCTACCTCACATTTGGCTCAACACTAAAAATATTTCAAAGAAGTTGTTTAAAAATGACATATTTACATTTATTCAAATGTGGTCCAGCCATCGACACGGTGCTGGCGCCATCGGTAATGTGAAAGAGCTCTCGCAAATGTGAGAGCGAATGCAAGCAGATATTAAGTATTGTAGATATTGTGGAATATGGGGATTAGTCATCAAAAGACAACATTGCACGAGTTGATAAAGACATACATTCATTATATCTTTAAGTGTGGCGTTTACCACAAAGTGCATTTCGCTAAGACAATGCAACACTATTTAAAAGTTAGTGTCAAAACCATAAACATTACATAAAAAAAAAAGAATCTTCAGCTCACGACACCGGCGAAAACCAATCAAAGAATCACAGACAAGGACCAAGTTTCAAAAAGCAAATAAAATAAACTTGATCAAATACACCATTGTTTGCAAATTTAACATTCTACACTTAAGAAAACATTAACAAAAAAATATTTCTTATATTATCTTACTATGTGCTACAATTTTTACAATGTATTATATTTCACCGCTTTTGGGTGTTCTCATTATTAGTATTATACAAACTTAACAAGAGCACCGCTAGGCGGAGCATGATATGCCCGAAAGTGACTTTTTAGTAAGGATGGAGCATTTGTAAGACATTGATATTAAATAAAGTATTACCTCCATCATATAGCAATCTTCCTATGAAGTTTGAATATTGTGGGCCAAATGGAACTTAAGTAATGCTCCGGAAACAGTTTTCAGATTTAAGATAATAGTGACCCTGACCTTTGACCTTGTGACCCAAAATCAATTGGGGTTTTCTTCCCATGGACAATCATGCTATAAAGTTTCAACATTGTGGATCAAATGGAACTTAAGTTATGGTCTGGAAACTACGGAATCCCGTTTCCGCCATCGACTTGTCGACTAAAAAGATAACCCGACAACTAGAAATTAATAATAAAATTTCGACTTTTCGCGGTAAAAACGTATCCTGAAAACTAGAAAAGTCAAGGTTTTTGGTTCGATAATTCTCACAAAATCGTCAACATGACGACCTATAAATAAGCACGAAAAGTAGATGTTAAATCACTTTATTTCCACTTGTCGCGTATTATCAAAGGTCGATAAGTTGATATTTGCATGACAGTTCTCGCGAAAACGTCAACTTGTCTACAAATTAACCAAAAAACCTCTAGATGTCGAAGTAGGATTGTACGGTGTACGATGAAAAGAGTACATATGACACGTATATATAATCCTAACCCGAGGTTTTGAGTGCTAATTTCTATTTGTCGGGTTAAATTATTTGTCGACAAGTCAACGTTTGCTTGATAATTATCATGATAATTATCATGCAAATATCACCTTGTCGACTTGTGATAATTAAGGCCATTCAATTTCTACTTTTCGTGCTAAGTTATATGTCGACAAGTTGAAGATTTTGTGATAATTATCGAGTAAAAAAACTCAACTTGTCTTGTTTTCGGGGTAATTTTTTATTGCGAAAAGTCGAAATTTTATCTTAATTTCTAGTTGTCGGGTTATTTTTTTAGTCGACAAGTCGATGGCGGAAACGGGATTCCGTAGGAAGCTCGTCTGAAAGACATGATAATGTTTTTGGCAGCAAAACCTTTTTCTCCATGATGCATATAATGGTCTCACTGGCCTCCGTGTATCAAAATAGTATCATCAAAGAAATCGACTAGACATACATATTAAGTATCATTCAGTGAATAACTGAATTAAAAATTTATAGGTCGATAATAACATTGAATGACATTAATGGTGACATGTCCGGGGTCAATGCATGAAAAGAGCGGATGGACCCTCATTAAGCCTAGAATACATACGCACATAAAAATCTCATTCATTTTGGAGATCCTTTAGTCAGTCCATGGATATAAATCGGAATAATTCCGCAATATCGAAACTAATTATATGTTTGAATTGGCTTAATCACATATGCGAGAGCTCTTTCACAATGCCGATGGCGCCAGCACCGTTTCGATGACTTGATCACATTTGAACTAATGTAAATATTTTATTTTTAACCAGGTTCTTTGAAATATGTTTGTGTTAAGTCAAAGGGTAGGTTGAGATCATGTTTCGTGCACGATAAATTGGGCAGACCTTTACGTTACGGTAAAGAATTCACTAAAATGTGTCTAAACGTAAAAGAAAACACACAAGTCAATATTTAGTAAAAGTTATAGCAACGTCATTTTGGGGTATTTCGTATCGAAATTAAATGCAAACTGATGAGAAAACGTTCTACGTGGCATAACATTCTTCGATTTGTGAAAAACAAGCATATTTTCAAAAAACAGATATTTTTACAACTGTGTTTACCTTTTTCAGCCTTGTTTTGGTCGATAGCTCTACAACAGATCACCAAGATGTAAAAGAGCCACTGTTTAGTAGGCGTGTAAGAACAAGACTTTTAACCAGAATAAAAAAATATCTCAGAATCTAGCTTTGGGATGTCAAAATAGTTTGCCTATGAGCATATATACTTTGCAGAAAAAAAAACTTATGTTATTGATGTTGTGTTGTAACCTTTTATGTTATGATATGTAAAGGTATTATTTACATTTTTACAGTTTGTGCATTTTATTAATAGTCTGAAATGGTACATGTCTATACCTGTTTTAACTGTTAAGCTCCATATTCTTAAGTCTTATCATTTTGATGCCAAGAATAAAGCAGTACAAAAACTAAAACTTAAAAAAAACATGATAGACATGATTTAAGAGATTAACAATTACACATCATACATATGTTTAAATAAATAAAGATCAAAGGGTATGACACGAACAATAACATACATGTAGTTATTATCTTAGTTTGTTTGCATTTTAGTATAATGAGCGTGTTTCAGTAAAGCTGCTCTCATATTTAAAAAAATAAACATTCTAATCTTCATTATTTATTCGTTTTTTCATAATCAATGTGGTATTAACGGGAAAATAAAAAAAACTGATTAACAAAATAGTAGATTTTAAAGCTGCACGCCTCCAGATGAGTCTTAATATTTCAAGAGATATAATCTTAAGAAAAATGTATAGAAATCTTATATTTTCATAAAAAAAGTTAAAAGATTGAATATTTGATTTCTTTCTTTGTTCACTTCACCATATTTACTTTTAAATACATTTTCAAAATTTTCATGAAAATTAACATGAATCTGGAGAAATCACTGCTTGGAGTTTGCGTTTGCATAAAACTGAACTTACTCATTGGAAAATGTATAAAAACATGTCACGCTTACATATATCAAACAAAAAAAAAAAATAAAAATCCGTTACAAGAAACATCGTCAGCCTGATTCATAATTAAGCTTTACGGATTTTACGTCGTACTAGCACAGTTTTTTCAGGCCTTTCGGTCGCATCTGCCCTAAGTCAAGTTTCTTACATGTCAGACTAAAGTAAGCTAAATAATTGCCCCTTTGACATATAATCAGGCACATTTCTTATTACAATCTCTTATTAAGATTGCAATAAATGTATACCTCTGTCCATGCTAAGACTATCATGTTTCAATGTAATGAGCGGAAAAACTATTCAATTAGCTAAAACAATGAAGTTAGTGGCGCCCCTCTTTTCATTTCTCTGGTACCTGAGTAGAACCACCGACGTTCCGTATGCTAGCTGAATAGCTTTCTCACATGTACAATCCGACGACGTAACAATCAATTGCAGTATAAGAGCGTGGACTGCCAAAAGGGAAACACGTGTTATGTGTAAAACCTATTTGTTTCTATTAAAATTTTATAACAATTACTTGTAACATTTATAAAATTGGATTAAATATCACTTTAGTATTCAGTCCAATTGAATAAAGTGCTCTCAACTAAGCAATCGGTTCATGATAAAAATTCGATATTATTTAAGAATGATCACTTGAATTAAAATGCGTTGCCAATTAGTTTAGAAACCATTGTCTTCAACATTATAAATATCGAATACATGGCTATTCATAGGACGGGATGTATGTCATCATTAGATTTACAATCACTATTCTGTTGTAAATAGTATATATCACCTGTGACATGACTTTGAAAGAATGTAACTTGTATATTTCTACAATGTGATAAAACGTGTCTTTTTACACTTGCTAAACATGAATCTAAAATGTGAGTGACAAAAGATTTCACTACAAAATCTTGAATAATACGAGGCTTTTTTTTTAGGTAACAATATGTCTAAAATTATCATAAAGTTTTGTTTTTGGATAATTCCAGTCAATTACAGTACTTAAAATATTATCGCAGCGATGTAAGGAAGAAAGGAATTACTTTTGATATAACATGACACATATTGGACAAAATGTTTATACCAGAACAGTGACTATACATATTTTGTTAAAAAATACTTCTTAAAGGTTGTTTACAGATGGTACATACTGTGAACAGTAAGGTACAAGTTTTGTCTCTGGTTGTTGATTGCACATGTCCAATATTTCTGGTCCTTTGATCTATTTAGATTGGTGACATTAATAGTGATACCACTGCTGCTAGGACTGAATGTATGTCTTGGTATAATTCCTCCTAAACACTGTGATGGAATACATCCTGTTATTGATGTAGCATTGGTAATGTCTTGAGGCATGGAATCTGTCTTATAGACCCTAACAACCTCATTGGTAAACTGTGATACCTCACATACAATCTGTATATCACCTCCTTTCATAGGTACCTTGTTGTCTTTGATGTATATTTGTTGTACAGTGTCTATAAAAAGATATAAAAATAATTACAAATAAGTTTAAGTAAAAGTACAATGGTATGTGAGGGAAGGTCTGTCATATATATTATTCATCAGATGAATGGTCAGTCTTAATCGCTTAGAACATTATCGACAAATTCAGAGATGCAACTTGTTTTTCTTTAACATTGTCACACGAAAATGTTTTTTTTTTGTTGTGTTGTGTTTTTTTCTTTTCTTTCACACATTCACATTTAATAAAGCAACAAAAACGTGAAATATACTTATTTATTAATAGTGCAGTGCTATTTTGGTTTAGGTATATTCTAACGTTTATCTCCGTTTTTTAATAAATTATATATAATAAATTTAAAGCAAGAGGTCATATATATCTGTCTATATATAGGACGTAGAAAGCAAAACGGCCTATTTGGTGTAGTGCTTACCATACTGGACCAGCATTTCAGACACCCATGGTTCGAGTCCCGGCTGTGGCGTGCCGATTTTTGGTGTGATTTATCTATATTTCACTTTTTTATTTCATGTGTATTTGAGGGAATAAAATATTTTATGAACATTTATGCCAGCAAAGAATTTCGTATTTTTTTAAATAAATCTCTATGTATTTAGAAAACAAACACTTTCTTTTATTTGTTGATAAATTAAAGATAAAATTTTTATATATTCAACTAGAACTATCGCTGAATGCGATTCATACTGTAAAACACTTATTATTCGCAAGAAATTTATTTTCGCTAATATTCGCGAGTTTTCTACGGCCCAAATTCATATTTCTCGCGAATATTTCACTTTGTCTATACACTTGTCCGAAAATGAACACTATCCGAAAATTCGTATCCATGGATATATATCTGCGAGAAAGTATCGACCAGTTCTAGTTACATCATGTAGCTATTCAAGTGTTGCAGCATATACATATCGTACAGTATTCAAAAATAAAGAACCATTATAAAAGCCAAAATGAGAATATAAAAGAAAATTATTATTATTATATATGTGTTTATGAATAAAAGTACACATACAGTACACTTATCGTTTCAGGAAAGAAGGTATGCCAGAATTTATAAGTTTAATAACTTAAGTCAATTCTAGTGCCACTTTATACAAAACAACATATACAAAATAAAAGTTGTTTAAAATAACCCCGTTTTTTGCGGGGGGTGGGTGGGGCGGGGGAATTTGAGTATGTCTCTAAAATAATTTCTTAATATCCTATCAAGAGAAAAATCATTAACTCACATTAAAGATATTTTGACAGCTAAACAGTGAATCAAATGTCCCGTGTATATGCCTAAAACCATGACAATTGTTCGATTTCAATTTTGATTTTACGAAATACATAAAAAAATTGCTTGCTCTATACAAATTTTGATATCACTATTTTATTTATATTTGTGCAATAAATGTTTAATCATTTTATCATTTTAACATGTTTGTCCATTCAGCTTATTGAATATTCAAATGTTACCTTGGCGTTTTGCATTTCGCCCAATTTCTCATTTTGGTATCAGGAAAATGTTGCAGTGGCTTTAATTCCGTTATTTTCTATATGCCTTTACTCGTATGATTGTCTTAAAAGTGTAAAAGTGCATGCAATATAATTTATAAAGAGGGCATAATTCATAATATCTATTTAGAACTTGAGAATTGTGTTGTCTTGATGATAAACTTTTCAAAATGTTATCATTGTAAGATATCATTATATATTAACAAACATATCACCTGGAAACTCAGTGTACTATGGCAGAATGATTGAAAGAACTGGCGTTTTACAAATGTATGATAAAATTGAGAAAATTAAGTTTGATTATCCAGATGTTGACCCTTTGTTTGACGGTGATAACAATTTTAGGACCCGAGATTTTTTAGATCCCATTCCTATCGATGATCTTCAATATATTTTTGGTAATAATGATTATGAAGGAAGGGATTTCAAAACTCCACGTCAAAAGAGAAAAGTATAAACGGGAATATTTTTTGTAAAGAATTAGTAGATTTTTGTTGCATATTTGATGTTTACTTATTAAATGGCAGGTGCCCTGGTAATATTAATGGTGAATATACATTATATTCTAACGACGAAGATAGTGCTTTAGATTAAATGATTGCTTCAACAAACGTTTTCAAGTATGTTAAATATTTTAAAGTCTTAGATAAAGACGATTCAGATCTTTTCCCTATTTGCTGTTAATTAGAATTTAAGATAAGAACGCCTGTACAAGATAAACTATGATAACCGCCATATGAACACATCTGCTGATGTTTCAAAATTCTTAATTTTACCAGTTCATGTGAAATGCTGAATTCTGCTTAAGCCGGTGCTAGGGGGCGTGGACGGTAGTTTGCACTTGACAGTACCGTCCATGAACAGGCTCAATCAAACCGAGCCGGCAACATTTTCAATGTTGCCGTGTTGTGCTTTCTTTAGGGATTCTTATTTCTCTCTATTTTATCAAACAAACACATAAATTTATACTTATATGATAAACTTTTGCTGGAAAAATTATTACAATGAAGTTTTCTTGAATAGTTTACGGAAACTTTAAATTAGAAAACTGGCATTTTATCACAAATGCTTAACGGAGAGATTAATGAGTATATAAATTTCAATTGACTCAGATTTATCATAAAACTGGCGAATGTGTAAATCTTGCAAAATATATGATCATAAATTTGTCATATGAAAAACACATGAAAGTTCACACATACTTAACATATGAAAACTTATTCATATGAAAAACATGTGATAACCATGAGTTTTACATATGTTTGTTGTAACATGTTTTTCATACAGTCCTGTTTAGTTTAAACATATTTTATTCATTATCATACACAGTACATAATATACAATCATTCAATATATGCAATGTTGAAATGGTCCTGTTTAACATATGTTATTTTACAGATGAAAAAACACATGTTCTTAAACACATGTTTTTCAAAACATATGAAACACATATGTTTTACGTATGGTGTACCAAACATACAACAAACATGTGGTGCATTTATCTGTGTAGTCTATGATCAGTTTTGTCAAATGATGAGTTAATGACGTTTTTGTCAAACATTTGATTTTTGAAAAGTAAAACACAAGAAGGTATAGTTGCAGTTAATTAAAATTCAAGAGTATTAAATTGTATTTGCAATTTTTTTTTAAATCTAGAATTGCACTGTCTTAGCACAAAAAATTATACGTTAGAGTTTGAACTGCAGGAAATATAGAAATTGCTTTATAATAAACATTGAAGTTTGCTTTATTCCTCGATGTTCTATTTATTATACTAAACTGCAGAATAGTTAATAAGAACTTGCTTGGTTATTTACAATATGTACTTAATACAATTACTTAAAAATATATGTCATAAATCATTTCTAATGATGATTGGACTGAATAGTATTCAAATATAAATTATACGTGTTCTGTTCGCATGGATATACTTTTTATGTACGTACTGTGAAATAAACATTTGGAAATCTGGTAAATTTTCTTGAAACAAAACCAGTAGGATAAACGTCCTTAAATCGGCAGCATTGGTTGTTTTTGTTGATGTTTCTATCATATCTAAGATAAAACGTCAACTTGTCCCTACATTATGCAAACAAACAAAAAACAGCTGTTTAAATCTTTGACTTTGTATGATTTTAACACAAATCTTGTCAATAGTCAACTGAACGAAATGAATTGAAATGTGTCACAAGTTCAAAATTTTCTTTTTGTTTGGGATGATAAAAGAATGAAATTCGTCTGGATTTTATAATATTTAATGAATAAATCGTTCATCATTCATTTAGACAAAACAGAACAATAACTTTATCCAGGATGTATAATAAGTTAATCATCACATATACGAGGAGTGTTTAAATATTAATGCCTCTGGTCGAGGGGTTAGAGTCGATGACTTCTAATCCAGTTATCTCTCTGGCGTCGGTTCGATCCCCGGGAGATGCTTTGGTAGTTTAGCGTGGAGGAAGGTAGTCTAGTACTGGTGTAACTCTCCAGGAACGATGGTTAGGAAACTACCCGCCTATATGACTGAAATACTGTTGGGAAAAGGCGTTAAATGAAACAAACAAACAAAATAATGCCTCTAGAACTTTATATTGTTTTATATTGCAAGAACGGGGGATTGAAGGTTAACGGATAAATTTACATGATAGTTTTACATTTATACTACACTAATTAATATCCGTTCACTTTTACTGTATTTATAGCCTGCTATACAATGTCTACTTGATACTGTAATACAAAAGATGATCAGTGTATGTCATTTAAAAACGATCTTATATTAAGTAAAGTTGTCTTCTTGGTATGAAACCTATTCTGTGTAAGGACAAAATGAAATGTCAGTTATTCGTTGGTTTGATAAATTCAAATTTAGCTTGATTCCAACTGAAGATCCATTACATGTCCGTTTGCCCTAAACATCAACGTCTGTCAAGATGGTTTCTAAAGTGAGAGAAGTTAATACCGATGTAAGATACACCAGGAGACAAATAGCAATTATCGTTGGCATCACATTGGTGACAACTTATACTATTTTTTAAAAGTGATTTGAAAAAAAAAATATGTGTCAGATGAACATGTTATCAGAAAATCGAACGTGGGCAATGCGAGTTTCATATGGATAATTTAAAAGACAATACACCGTTTAATTTTGCAAATGTCGTCACTGGTGACAAAACATTGGATCATTTCTGTTAGCCAATACGAAAACACCAAGACAAGATTTGAGCTAAATCTGGCTAAAGACCGTGCAATGCAAAATGGATCATTGGTATAAAAAGATAATTAACGCAATTTTCTATACAGCTCAGGGTCTCAGCTTTCAGGTTTCTGTTCTGAATTTCAATGCGAAATATTACAACACAAAAAGTCTTCGAAGCCTTAACAAATACTTTCGAAAACGGAAACTTGCATCAGGTTTTGGAAATGTAAGATTGTTGCATGTAAACGCGTTATCGCACAAGGGATCTTTCGTGCAAAACTTTCTGAAGCAAAAAAATC